CGCTTTTTGATTTGGAAGCAGGAAGGGAAAATGGAGTGTTTTCTTAGCCCGGCAGCTTCAAATCCCTGTTGTTCTAGGCAGGACGTCACCGTTCATTTTGCCATATTGCTGGCGACAATACAAATGAGCCAAGTCGAGATAGTGAAGTGCTTGCATTCAAAGCAATTCTTTTTTCAAAGGGGGAAAAAACTCTCGCTCTCTCTATTCAGATGAGCAATTATCAGCCTTGGCCCCCATTTCATTCCTGTCACATTATTTCTGCTTCTGCAAGGGGAAATTATAATTGCAAAGGGAGTGAGCCGCTAGGCCACAAACTGACAAGAACCATGTCAGCCAAATGCCTTGTGAAACACGCAAATAATGTAACCTGAACACCTGGGACTGAGCTCTCTATTGCCCAGCTAAAAACCAGCTGAAATCAAATCTGTCAGGCATGACATTAGGTTCCAATGCATGCTACATTGGCAGGATATAGGGTGACACGGGGGACGAGCACAAGGCAGGGAGGGGACGGGTCCTGGGATGGGAAAGGAACCGTAGCAAGTGGCCGGAGGCCTTCAAGCAGAATTGAGTTGACTCTGAAGATCCAAAACCAGGGGCTTGGGAGGAAGTCTATGGGGGGCAGTTTAATTGTTTTTGCATTAAGGCAGTGCTGTCGAACCTGTGGCCTTCCAGGTGTTTTGAGCGTCAGCTCTCCGAATTCCTGGCCATTGGACAAGCTAGGGCTTGGGTTGGAAGGCCCAAACATCTGGAGGGCCACAAGTTGGACATCTCTGTTTTAAAGGAAGATTTTGGCCTTACTACTTCTTATGAACCTTCCATAAAATCTTGATAAAACAGGAAAGAGGACATGGGATTAGATACCTGCTCCAAGAAAGCCCTGTTTCAATTCTTGATGAAGCAGTTACTTTGGTTTCCCATTTTATTTTTATTTTAAACAGGTTAGGATTCGGTCATGGCCCAATGGCATTGAGCAGAAAGGTGGAAATGCTCCATGAGGATGATCATCCATGTCAGAAGCCAGGGCAAGGCGGGCTCACTCTTCATGAACCAGAGCATGGTGTACAAGCAAACTAAAGTACCCTTTTGGCACTTCAAGCATGACACTGGGCTGGAAAATCCCATTACACTAGGCGGCCTCAGAGAAAATAGCTTTTCCATAGCTCTTAAGACTCAGAGAAAGAGGTAAACCTAGCCCCGAGATTACAAAAATTTGTGAGGATTAAGGGGCTTTCAGGAAAGCAAGCCAATGCACACATTTTAAATGTGGATAGCTAAAGTGTTCCCAATTGAAAAAAAAATGTATTACATATTTTAGCCAGAGTCAAGGAGAATGCATAAATGGGGTGAAATAAATGAACAAATGTGCACTTTAGGAAAATTGTAATAGGAAAAATGCGCATGAATTTCCACACAGGAAGAAAAAGCAAAGCCTCACAACTCTATACAAAGAGTAGAAGAAAAGTCAAGTGGAATCCAGAGGAACACAATGCAATTGAGAGGCTGTCACAAGCCTAGCCTGATATAGCCCAGCAAGACAAGGAGCCCCTGCACTCAGCAATCACCATGGCAGGTGCCTGGCAGGCTATGGAAATGCAGTCATCAACACCACCACAGGATTGCCTTCTCCAGCTGCAACTCTGTGCTTCCTGAGATAGGTCCAATGGGATGCAGATCCTTCATTCTTTCCTACTGAGAATGATGCCTCCAGATGGAAGGGGTGAAACTGAAATTGAGAAGTTTGTTGCCATAGGGCAGTAGTTCTCAAACTTCCTAATGTCACAACCCTTTAATACAGTACCTCGTGTTGTGGTGACCCCCAACCACAAAATTATTTCAGTTGCTACGTCATAATTGTAATTTTGCCACTGTTATGAATCGTCATGTAAATATCTGATATGCAGGATATATCTGATATTTTCATTCACTGGACCAAATTTGGCACAAATACCTGATACGCCCAAATTTGAAAACTGGTGGATTGGGAAGGATACATTTTGTCATTTGGGAGTTGTAATTGCTGGGATTTATAGTTCATCTACAATCAAAGAGCATTCTGAACTCCACCAACGATGGAATTGAACCAAACTTGTGACACAGAACTCCCACGACCAAGGGAAAGTATTAGAAGGGTTTGGTGGGCATTGACCTTGAGTTTTGGAGTTGTAGTTCACCTACATCCAGAGAGCACTGTGGACTCAAACAATGTTGGAGCTGGACCAAACTTGGCACGAATACTCAATATGCCTAAATGTAAACATTGGTGGAGTTTGGGGAAAATAGACCTTGGGATTTGGGAGTTGTCGTTCCTGGAATTTATAGTTAACCTACAACCAAAGAGCATTCTGCACTCCACCATCGATGGAATTGAAGCAAACTTGGCACACAGAACTCCCATGACCAACAGAAAATACTGGGTTTGGTGCACACTGACTTTGAGTTTTGGAGTTGTAGTTCACCTACATTCAGAGAGCACTGTGGACTCCACCAACAACAGAAATGGGCCAAAACTTCCCACACAAAACCCCAATGCCTTGAAGGAACTTGCTGGCATGAGCCTCCCTCTAGCCTTACACACTCTCCCTCACCCGCACATGCGCACCACGCTGCCATGCACCGAGCACGCCTGCTCTCCCCTCCCTGCTTGGGGTCTCAGAAACAGCCCTCCCCTTGGCTGAGAGGCCGGCCCATCACAGTGGAGGAGGGCTTTTGATCAGAGAATTTGCCCTCTGTTTCCAGCCTTCTCTGCCAAAGGGGTTCCTAAGACGATCAGAAATATGTGTTTTCTGATGGTGTTTGGTGATCCCTTTGAACCCCCTCGCAACACCCCCAGGAGTTCCGACCCCCAGGTTGAGAAACTGCCATAGGGCAACAGTAGAAATCATGTGCACATGTTGCTGGACTGCCACTCCCAGCATTCTTCACCACTGGCTATCTTTGCTAGGGTTTTTGGGAGTTGCAGCTTAACAACATCCGGATTGCCCTACACAGGAGTATAGTCCAACATGACGACTTGACATGTCAGTCTTCAGATGTGCTACGTAAATGGCGGAATTGTCCAGTTATGCAAAGTTTTTGGTGCAAATATTGATGATTATCAGGGAAACAAAAGGAACAGAAGTCTCATTAGAATCTTATTAATCTATTTGGAAGAAATTGAATCAGACTCAGGTAATGAACAAACTTATTATCTATTGAGGGGAGAGAATATATTTAGCTCAACAGATGGGAAAAGTCTCGGAGATTATTAATTGCGAAATTGAATGTTAGGCCCCATTTAACTGTATAAAATTAAAGTGTTGGATGAAAAACAGAGGGCAGGGGAAAGATGCACAGGTTGTTTTTTTACTTTTAGTATTACAGAAAATATTTTTCTTTAGGAACAATGAATATAAAATAATTGGAAGGACAATAAAATGATGTAAGTTGAGCATCCCTTACCTGGAATTCCCAAATCGGAAATACTGCAAAAACCGAAACTTTTGGCTCTCTGATGGCTCATTATTCACAAACTTTATTTCACGCACAACATTATTTAAAAATATTGTGCATAAAATTACCTTCAGGCTATGGCTATAAGGTGCATATGAAACATAAATGAATGTCACATTTGAATTTGGTTCTGATCTCCAATATGTTTCATTATGTAGGCAGGTAAAGGTTTTCCTCTGACATGAAGTCCAGTCATGTCCAACTCTGGGGGTTGGTGTTCATCTCCATTTCTAAGCTGAAGAGCTGGCAATGTCCATAGACACCTCCAAGGTCACGTGGCTGGCATGACTGCATGGAGTGCCATTACCTTCCTACTGGAGCAGTACCTATTGATCTACTCACATTTGCATGTTTTCAAACTGCTAGATTGGCAGAAGCTGGGACTAACAGCGGGAGTGCCGTTACCTTCCTACTGGAGCGGTACCTATTGATCTACCCACATTTGCATGTTTTCAAACTGCTAGATTGGCAGAAGCTGGGGCTAACAGCGGGAACTCACTGTAGCACTGGGAGCTCCTTTGGAACTACAGTTAGAATCATGGAATCATAGAATCAAAGAGTTGGAAGAGACCTCATGGGCCATCCAGTCCAACCCCCTGCCAAGAAGCAGGAATATTGAATTTGAATCACCCCTGACAGATGGTCATCCAACCTCTGTTTAAAAGTCTCCAAAGAAGGAGTCTCCACCACACTCTGGGGCAGAGAGTTCCACTGCTGAACAGCTCTCACAGTCAGGAAGTTCTTTCTCATGTTCAGATGGAATCTCCTTTCTTGTAGTTTGAAGCCATTGTTCCGCGTCCTAGTCTCCAGGGAAGCAGAAAACAAGCTTGCTCCCTCCTCCTTCTTACTTCCTCTCACATATTTATACATGGCTATCATGCCTCCTCTCAGCCTTCTCTTCTGAAGGCTAAACATGCCCAGCTCTTTAAGCCGCTCCTCATAGGGCTTGTTCTCCAGACACTTGATAATTTGAGTCGCCCTCCTCTGGACAGATTCCAGCTTGTCAACATTTTCCATCAATTGTGGTGCCCAGAACTGGACACAGTATTCCAGGTATGGTCTGACCAAGGCCGAATAGAGGGGTAGCATTACTTCCTTAGATCTAGACACCACAAGTTGGAAGATAATAAGAGATAAACCAGAAATAGATGTCCAATGTGGTTAAATAGTTTGAGCTTTGGTTACAACAAGAGTTCAAATCCCCTTGGCCAAGGAAACCCACTGGGTAAGTCACACACTCTCAGCTTCAGAGGAGAGCAATGGTTCTCCCTATCTGAACAAACCTTGCCAAGAAAACCCCATGACAAGTTTGCCATGGGGTTTTCTTAGGGCCAGCATAAGTCAGAAACAATAACAAATACACAGCCTCAAGGAAGTATTGAATGTATTTCAGAATCTATGAATAAAGCCTCCCTGGCATTTAAAAGGGTCATGGGCTGAACTACTAGCGACCTATACAAATCTACTTATCTCTAGAACTCCACCTTTCCAAAAAATAAAAAGGATACTATCCAGGATGAGCTTTGTAAGAGCCTGATAGGCACAAAGATCTTGCATTTCTGGGATGCGGTTGTATGCAAAATTCACCACCTGGAGAGGAAGGAAAGGAAGAGCACATGCAACTGACAGAGACTATTTGGATGCAGTTCATGTATGGACATAATTCATGTGCAGATCTGTAACACTCACCATTTTAGAATCGCAGCATTGGAAGAGACTAAAAGGGCCATGCTATAAGCAAAGCACTTCTGACAGAAGGCCTTCCAGCTGCTGTTTAAACATTTTGCAAACAGGGAAAAGATTCCTCTTCCATTTGCAAATGTTAGTGTTGTGCCCAGGATAATATGTACACTAAAGTACTAAGGAATATGACCAAAGAGGGGCTGTTTCATTCACTTCAATGCTGTGATATGTTCCCAAAGTCTGCAAAACATGTCAAGGCAGAAGGAGTAATGGCAAATAATCTTAGATTTCTCTGGCCCCAAATCATTCTCTTAATACTACTGGTAGTTAGATATCAATCTCATTTCTTCCAGATATTTCTATGGTCTTAACCTTCTATGTCAGGCATGGGTAAACTTCGGGCCTCCAGGTGTTTTGGATTTCAACTCCCAGAAATCCCAGCCAACTTATCAGCTGTTAGGAATTTTGGGAGTTGAAGTTGAGGGATGAAGTTTGACTATGCCTGCTCTTTCTCATTATTCTCTGCTTTCTCTATGCCACAGATGGGGAAAATTCATTTCTCCAAGTGTTGCTAGACTACAACTCTTATCAACTTTATTATCTATTTTATTTATTTACAGTATTTGCATTCCGCCCTTCTCACCCTGAAGGAGACTCAGCGTGGATTACAATGCACACATACACGGCAAACATTCAATGCCGTTTTCTAGATATACAGACAGACAGGCGGATAGAGGTATTTTTTGGCATTTCCATTTATGTGACTGGAGGTTATACTCCTAATATCTCTACTCAGAGCTCAGCTGTTTTCGAACTGCTTAGGTGGACAGTAAGTTAGGCTTAACAGTCAGGTGCTCAATCCAACTCGGGCTTTGAATGGTCACCTTCCAGTCAGCAGTGATCTATTGCATCTGATGATTAATAATAATAATAATAATAATAATAATAATAATAATAATAATTAAAACTTTATTTGTACCCTGCTACCATCTCCCTAAGGGACTTGGTGCGGCTTACATCAATAAAAGCAATAACAACAACAATAAAACAATTAAAATAAAACTCAACCAGAAAAGCAATAAAATGACAGTAATACAACACACATTTAAAATCTATGGCTGGGCCAAATGTAATTAAAGTTAAAAAATAATGCTAAGCATGAACAAGATAAGAAAGATGGGGCGTTGGTGAGAGCATACAAACAATCCTAAAGCAGTGTAAAGTGCATTTAGAGGGCACAATGCTGAGAGTTCATTATTCTGGGAAGGTACACTGGAACAACCACGTTTTCAGGCTCCTCCTAAAGACTGCCAGAGTTGGGGCATGTCTGATGTCCTTAGGGAGTGAATTCCAGAGTCAAGGGGCCACCACTGAGAAGGCCCTCTCCCTTCTGATTAGCTGGCGATTAACCAGCCTGGCCTCTTTAGGAGCTGCACTTAGATCCTCAAGCATTTCACTGATAATAATTGATAAGAATTGGGACAGCGATTTCTTTTTTTGTGTCAGGAGCAACTTGAGAAACTGTAAATCGCTTCTGGTGTGAGATAATTGGCCATCTGCAAGGACTTTTCCCCAGGGGACGCACGGATGTTTGATGTTTCACCATCATGTGGGAAGCTTCCCTCATGCCCCTGCATGAGAAGCTGGAGCTGACAGAGGGAGCTCAACCCACTCTCCCCACATTCAAACCACTGACTAGTCCTGCCAGCACAAGGGTTTAACCTATTGTGGACACCGGTGTCATAGCCACACTAAATTGTGTTTAAGATGGCTAATGTTATTAAAGAAGAAGAACAGAGAAGAAGAAGCTGTTTTCTCTGTATGTCGTTGTTATTCTACTGTATTAAAGGCATTGAATGTTAGCCTATCTGTGAATGTTGTAATCTGCTTTTAGTCACCTCAGGGAGCTAGAGTGGAATATAAATAAAGTGTATTATTATTATTTGGAACACAACAAGATGAGTACACAGCCAACAAGATCACTCTGCTGGCTGTTGTATTGGATCACACGTCGAACACTTCCCAAGTGTTTAGCACTGTGCGATGTATCGTCTAATAATGCGTGCAGATCCCAGTAGGGTGGCCTTTTGCAGCTGGCAGATGGTAATTTTGTCAGTGCCGATTGTGTTTAAGTGCAGGCCACGGTCTTTATGCACTGCACCCAGTGTGCCGATCACCACTGGAACCACCTTTACTGCCTTGTGCCAAGAGTCTTTGCATTATTATTGTTGTTGTTATTGTGATGATGATTATTTTGCTTGATCCTTCTGGGAAGGGCAAGATTCCACCCCACCCCTTCTCTCTACTGAGTCAAATAAGTTCAGACTCTGCACTTTGAATTCTGTTTGCAATAACTAAAGTAAACTGAGGACAAAAGGAGAATGTGGGAAGAAGATGGAGAGAAATATGGACATTTTAAAAGCAGCTAAAAGTGGGAGAGAGGATTAATCATGGTTGCCCCTTCCATATTCAGATTGTTGGGCATTCCTCAGTAATTCCCTAACCTTTCCAATGCACTCCACATGGATACTTTACTCTACCCTTGCCACCTTTCTATTCAGCTTAATGCTGCCTTTTCTTCATCCGCACTGCTTCTCACACAGCTCTGTATCACCGGAATGCCCTTCAGCTGGCATCTAATTCCCTTCCTCTATTTTGTGCATTCATGCATTTGATCAACTGACCCTTCTCCCATTTTATTTTCCTTGCCATTCCTCTCTAATGTGCCTTTACTTTTGGATTGTACCCTACAGACACAGGGCTGTGTTATTACATTTTTGAATGGCAGACATTTGAGGCATCTCAAGAATAATTTCCTCCCAGAGAGCTGGGAAATTATAAGGCCCAATACCCTTTCTCCTAAAATCCTTTTCACCTTCTTGAAAGTAAAATTAACACATATCTAACCATTTTGAAGTGACATTAAGATGGAAACTTTGAGCATTGTGTTTCTAGTGAACCAACAAGTTCTGTTCTGGTGCGAAAACACCAGCCTGAAAAGTGGTTTCACAAATCTACATTTCAAAGAGCTCGGCCCCTGCTCACCTTCTCTTTATGGATATTTTAGGCAGGAGAAAGCCCTTTAGCAATATCACCTGTGCACACCTGAGGATCATCTGGGAAGGAATCCCACTGGAGCACTGCAGCACACCCAAATATCTGGGAGTCACTCTGGACTGTGTTCTTACCTACAAGAAGCACTGCCTGAACATCAAGCAAAAAGTGGGTGCTAGAAACAACATCATACGAAAGCTGACTGGCACAACCTGGGGATCACAACCAGACACAGTGAAGACATCTGCCCTTGCGCTATGCTACGCTGCTGCTGAGTATGCATGCCCAGTGTGGAACACATCTCACCACACTAAAACAGTGGATGTGGCTCTTAATGAGACATGCCGCATTATCACGGGGTGTCTGCGTCCTACACCACTGGAGAAATTACACTGCTTAGCCGGTATTGCACCACCTGACATCCGCCGGGAAGTAGCAGCCAATAGTGAAAGGACCAAGGCAGAGACATCTCCAGCTCATCCCCTGTTTGGGTATCAACCAGCACATCAACGACTTAAATCTAGAAATAGTTTTCTAAGATCTACAAGACACTCGCTGGAACACTTCAGCAAGAGAGAGTCCAAAAGTGGCAGGCTCAAACCCAGAACCTCAACCAATGGCTGATACTAGAATGAGAGACTCCCTCCTGGGCGCACAGAAAACTGGGCGACTTGGAAGGTGCTGAACAGACTGCGCTCTGGCACCACGAAATGCAGAGGCAACCTTAGGAAATGGAGCCACAAAGTGAAATCCACGCCATGCGGGTGTGGAGAAGAGCAACTACAGACCACCTGCTGCAATGCAACCTGAGCCCTGCCACATGCACAATGGAGGGCCTCCTTGCGGCAACACCAGAGGCACTCCAAGTGCTTATGCAGGGAGGCTAATTTAACTCATTCACGAGGCCATAAAAATCTCCAGCAAGCATGCAAAGAATGAGGAAGTACTTCAGTGTCACAAATGGACGGTGAAGCGACAGCTCCCCTGGTGGCTAGAATACCCTCATGAAAAGCTGGAATGTTAAATAGCCTCTGAGTGTCTGTCTATATATGTTGTGTGTCTATGGCATTGAATGTTTGGCATGTATATGTACATTGTAATCTGCCCTGAGTCCCCTGTGGGGTGAGAAGGGCGGAATACAAAGACTGTAAATAAATAAATAAGTTTAGCAGCTCAGCGGTTTAACCCGCTGGGCCACCGGGGGCTCTATGGTTTAATATAACTGTGGTATAATAGAGAAAAGAGAACAGCCTTCTAGGCAAATTTAGAAAGTGAGATTGGGACCCAAGAAAAGGCTGTATTTGGCCCACCCTTAAAATATATTGTTGAAGGTTTTCATGGCTGGAATCACTGAGTTGTTGTGAGTTTTCTGGGCTGTATGGCCATGTTCGAGAAGCATTCTCTCCTGACTTTTGCCTGCATCTATGGCAGACATCCTATGAGGATGCCTGCCATAGATGCAGACAAAACGTCAGGAGAGAATGCTTCTGGAACATGGCCATACAGCCCGGAAAACTCACAACAACCCACCTTTAAAATAATTTGTGGTTGACCTATGTTGAGAATTTTAAGTTTGTTTAAAGCTCTTATTTGTATGTTGGAAAACAACGATTAAGCAATGATGGGATAAGGAAAAACCTTATATAAGGTTGCAAAAAAAAGGAACAGCAATAGCCCAAAGGAGTTTAAACAATTAGGTTCAACTTCCTCTATTAGCATACAAAACAGACAAGAACACCAAAAATTTGGGGCAGCGCAAGCTTTGTAACTACATTTTAATTTAAAAATAAAGTCAAATCCTACAATTTTTTTCTATGAACCAACATTTTGGGTTATCAGGCACATAAAAGTAATTTGGATTCAAAGACAATGCAGAAAGCTGTATTTTGTGTCTTACTTGTAAATTCTTAGGTGGTTTGAAATTGAAGTACGTGGTAAGTTTGTTATGGGAAGCATCCAGTTCCAGCAAATAAGGCATATGACTGACACACGAAAGCTCTGGAAACAAGAAATAATAATAATAATAATAATAATAATAATAATAATAATAATAATAATTCTTTATTAGTTTTCCGCCCTATCTCCCCAGAGGGTCTCGGGGTGGATTCCAACATACAATGGCAACATTCAATGCCTCCATAAAACAAACAAATACGGACATAAAATCCCAGGAAAACCCTACATATGAAAACAGCAAGTAAAACCTAACACCAAATTAAAGTTCAGATCAATGAATTAAACCTAACATCAATAAATTAAACCAACAGTCAGACAAAAATTATAAAATGACATAAAATTTGATCAAATATCTATATTAATTTACAGAAGCCAACTGGAGTTTACAAAGTTGTGTGGGTTAGTTGTGTGGCCTATGGTGGTAAATTGAGTTGACATAGACTAGCAGAGCCCAGATATAAAATAGTTCTCAACCAGGACCCTGTAGTGGTCAATCATTGACTAGCCCTCCTCCTCTCTGTATACTAGTGAGCAGAAGTGGATCTTCAGTTGTTTTTTGAAGGAGAGGAGGGAAGGGGCCAGTTTTATTTTCCAGAGGTGGGGGGCCACCACGGAGAAGGCCCCCTCTCTAGTTCCCACCAGCCATACTTTGGATGGGGGCGGGACCGAGAGCAGGGCCTCCTCCAATGAATGCAGTACCCAGGCTGGTTTGTAAGAGGAGATGTGTTTGGTCAAGTAGCCTGGACTCAAGCTGTTTAGAGCTTTAAAGGTATAAATATGTGAGAGGAAGCCACAGGGAGGAGGGAAAAAGCTTGTTTTCTGCTTCCCTGGAGACTAGGACGCAGAACAATGGCTTCAAACTACAAGAGAGGAGATTCCATCTGAACATGAGGAAGAACTTCCTGACTGTGAGAGCTGTTCAGCAGTGGAACTCTATGCCCTGGAGCGTGGTGGAGGCTCCTAATTTGGAAGCTTTTAAACAGAGGCTGGATGGCCATCTGTCAGGGGTGCTTTGAATGCAATATTCTTGCTTCTTGGCAGGGGGTTGGACTGGATGGCACATGAGGTCTCTTCCAACTCTTTGATTCTAATGACCAGCACTTTGTGTTTAGCCTGGAAGCAGACTGGCAGCCATTGGAGCTGCCCTAACATGGGAGTGGATCTCTCCCTGTACAGAGCTCCTTTTAGTAGTCTGGCCACTGATCTCTGAACCAGTTGAAGCTTCCGAACAATCTTCAAAGGCAGCCCCACATAGAGAGTGTTGCAGTAGTCCAATTGGGATGTGACTAAAGCGTGGACTACCATGGCTAGATCTGGCATCTGAAGGTATGGGTGGAACTGTCGCACAAGTTTTAATTGTGCAAAGGCACTCCTGGCTACAGCCAACACCTGGGGTTCCAGGGTCAGTGATGAGTCTAGGATCACCCCCAGATTGCGGACCTGTGCTTTCAGGGGGGACTGCGACTCCCATCCAACACAGGATGTAATCCCAGAAGTCGCATGCCATGAGATCAGCACTGATTTCAATTTTGATATTAGACTGCAGACTCAGTGCCTTAAAAAATAGCTAGGCTGCAACCACCCTGCTTTATGCCTGTAAGACGTGGACTGTCTACAGACGTCACATGCAACTCCTGGAACGATTCCATCAGTGCTGCCTCTGGAAAATCCTCCAAATCTCTTGGGAAGACAAGCGGACAAATGTTAGTGTGCTGGAAGAAGCAAAGACCACCAGCATTGAAGCGATGGTCCTCCGCCATCAACTCCGCTGGACCGGCCACATTGTCTGAATGCCCAACCACTGTCTCACAAAGCAGTTGCTCTACTCAAGTATGGAAAACGGAATGTTGGTGGGCAGGAAAAGAGATTTAAAGATGGGCTCAAAGCCAGCCTTAAAAACTCTGGCATAGACACTGAGAACTGAGAAGCCCTGGCGCTTGAGCGCTCTAGCTGGAGGTCAGCTGTGACCAGCAGTGCTGCAGAATTTGAAGAGGCACGAATGAAGGGTGAAAGAGAGAAATGTGCCAAGAGGAGGCGCGTCAAGCCAACCCTGACTGGGACCGCCTTCCACTTGGAAACCGATGCCCTCACTGTGGGAGAAGATGCAGATCAAGAATAGGACTCCACAGTCACCTACGGACCCACCAGTACACTTACAAGGAATCACCTAAGTAAGTAAGCACTTTATACAAAATATGCCTTCCATGGTGAACTATTGTGGAGCTTCCTGTCGAGATTTGTTTAGAAGGAGATTTGCTTTTGCCTCCCTCTGAGTGTGATTTCCCAAAAGCTACGTTGTGGGCTTCTATGGCTGAGAGGTGACTTGATCCCTCACCTCCAGAGTCATGGCTCAACATTCAAACCACTCCACCATGCTGGCTTCCTGCTCTAGGTTTAATACCTGGAATTTCTTGCTAACTTATTCCATACACCAGGATTGGAAAGACCTTTGCAACCTTGGAGAGCAAAGACAGCACTGGAGCTAGATGGGTCATTGGTCTGACTGTTCCTAATGTTTAATCTCAGCTCCAGCTTCAGAAATAGCATGGCTCTTTGCATTTTATTTCCAGATAATAAACTGGACAATAATCTTTATGTTTTAGTGGTTGAGCATATGTCATTATGGCATGTTAGATGGGCTTGAACGTGGCCCTCTTTACATTCTCTAGGGGGGATCCAATCATTTTGCAGAGCCACTTAAGTGGAGCCAGGAACCACTCTTATAATAAGAGAACTATGTTGTTGTCCAACGCATTTTTCCTGCTGTCTGAAATGGCTTTTTCAGTTCACAAGTTTGCAGAAGCGATGACCACGTACCATTAATTTTATTGTAGGAAAGATCGAGCTTCTCAAGATGAACATATCTGCAGAGAATGCTAATGTCACTTAAACGTTGATCCTGAGGAGGGAAAAGAGAAAGGGAATTCAGGATGGGAAACCCTGTGGCTGCTAACTCTTTCAAGGTGATCCCAAGTTGATGTTCGACTTATCACACTGTGAAAATGTTAAATCTCAGGGGCGTTTGAGGGAGTGAATAGATGAGGGGGAAAAAACAAGCATATGGAATGGGGTTTTTTTCAAAATATAATGACCATTGGGTTGCTGTGAGTTTTCCCAACTCCAGTAGCATTCTCTCCTGACATTTCACCCACATCTATGGAAGGCACCCTCGGAGGTTGAGGGGTCTGCCGGAAAATAGGCAAGTGAGGTTTATCTATGGAATGTCCAGGGTGGAAGAAAGAACTCTTGTCTGCTGGAGGCAAGTGTGAATGTTGCAAATGGCCACCTTGATTAGCATTTAATGGCCTTGCAACTCCAAAGCCTGGCTCATTACAGCCTGGGGGAATCCTTTGTTGGGAAGTGTTAGCTGCCCCTGATTGATTTTTGTCTGGTATTCCCCTGCTTTTTTAGTGTTGTTATGATTTTAGAGGTTTTTTTAATACTGGTAGCCAGATTTTGTTCATTTACTGTATATACTCAAGTATAAGCCTAGTTTTTCAGCCCCTTTTTAAGCTGAAAAAAATCCCCTCGGTTTATACTCAAGTCAAGGTTATTTATTATTTTAATCTGCTATTACTATTACTTTTATTACATTTATTATTTTACTGTATTAATATTATTACATTTACATTATTTTACTGCATTATTATATTTATTGCATTTATTATTTTACTCTATTTATTATTACATTTATTACTTTATTATTATTATTACTATTATTATTAAATTTCCATTATTTACTCTATTATTATTTTTATTACATGTTATTACATTTATTATTTTATTCTGTCATTATAGGTAATAGGTAAGCATATTTACATTGAAGGAGGTTAGAATAATGGTTGAATCAGAATTGGGCAGTCTTATCTTAAATTACAGTTTTGTGTAAATACTCAAAAACATTTAACCTCCTGATGATTACCAGTAGCAGCTACATTTCTCGCCCTCGGCTTATACTTGAGTCAATACGTTTTTCCAGTTTTTTGTGGTAAAATTAGGTCCCTCGGCTTATATTTGGGTCGGCTTATACTCGAGTATATACGGTACATGGTTTCCTCCTTTCTGTTGAGATTCATCTGTAAGTGCATGAACTCTGTCACATAGGCCATGCAATCTATATAAATAAAAATGTAATGTCTGTTTGTGGGATTAACATAACTCAAAAACCACTGGACGAATTGGCACCAAATTTGGACAAAATACACCTCTCAGGCCAACGAGTGACCATCACTCATAAAAACACTGAAAAACACAGCAGAAGAGACTTTAAAAGGCACCCCCCCCCCAAAATGCATTACAACGCATGCACAAAACCACACATATACACAAACACACATATAACACAAAATACACACACATAACACAAAATACACACACATATACACACACAAAACACATATATACAAACTGGGCCACAGCAACACATGGCAGGGGACAGCTGGTCACTCATAAAAACACAGCAGAAGAGACTTTAAAAGCCAAAAAACAGAAATTACATAACACCGCATGCGCAAAATCACACACACATATATATGCAAACACACATATACACAAATATATGTACACACAAAACACATATACACAGACTGGGCCACAGCAGGGCGTGGCAGGGGACTGCTAATCTATATAAATAAAAATGTAATGTTTGTTTGTGGGATTAACATAACCCAAAAACCACTAGATGAACTGACACCACATTTGGACACAATACACCTATCAGGCCAATGAGTGACCATCACTCATAAAAAATACTGAAAAATGCAACAGAAGCCAAAAAATAAAAAAAAATACATTACAACACATGCACAAAACCACATATATACGGAAACACACATATACACAAATATATATACACATATATACATACACAAAGCACATTTACACAGACTGGGCCACAGCAACGCATGGCAGAGGACAGCTAGTAGTATATAATTTAGAAGAGTATTGAGGGAGCATCCTAGTATTGCTACAGTCTTTCACACCATATTGTAAATGAGCAGGAATAATTAAGATTTATCTAACGCTCCCTATATCTGAACTAGTTGAGCTGAGATTTAAACTCATGCTTTACAGTGGTACCATCTTTCATGGGACTAAAGGAACAACAGAATAGTGCACAAGCTAGTATATTTCATTTAATCCTGACCTCTCCAGAGAAAAGACATGACAAGCAGGAATGATCCTTCTCTGCTTCAGTAAAGATCCTAGACACCTGCATCAGGTCGACAGAACTACTTGGTGAGATGGGAACATTCAACATGGTACATGGCAGCCTTCTATTGGTAGACATATTTGCTTATTTTGTTACTACCTTCTGAATGTAATTATGAGCTTATAGTCTTAGAAAGAGAAGGGAACTTTGAGATCAGTGCAGTGCACACTTTTGGACTCGAAAGAGAAGAAATGTGTGCAGAACAATGTGATCAGATAGTCTAGAACAGTGTTTCTTAACCCGGGGGTCGGGACCCCAGGAGGGGTCGCGAGGGGGTGTCAGAGGGGTCGCTAAAGACCATCAGAAAACCTCACTACCTCTGAGGATGCTTGCCATAGATGCAGGCGAAACGTCAGGAGAGAATGCCTCTAGACCATGGCCATATAGCCCAAAAAAACCTACAACAACCCAGTGATTCCGGCCATGAAAGCCTTCGACAATACACAGTATTTTCTGTTGGTCTGGAGTATTTCTGTGTGGAAGGTTTGGCCCAATTCTGTCATTGGTGGGGTTCAGAATGCTCTTCGATTGTAGGTGAACTATACATCCCAGTAACTATAACTCACAAGTGTCAATGTTCATCTTCCCCAAACTCCACCAGTGTCCATATTTGGGCATATTAAGTATCTGTGCCAAGTTTGGTCCAGATTCATCATTGTTTGAGTCCACAGTGCTCTCTGGATGGAGGTGAAGCACAACTCCCAAACTCAAGGTCAATGCCCACCAAACCCTCCAGCATTTTCTGTTGGTCATGGGAGTTCTGTGTGCCAAGTTTGGTTCAATTCCATCATTGGTGGAGTTCAGAAGGCTCTTTGATTGTAGGTGAACTATAAATCCCAGCAACTACAACTCCCAAATGACAAAATCAACCCACCCCAACCCCACCAGTATTCAAACTTGGGTATATTGAGTATTTGTGCCAAATTTGGTCCAGTAAATGAAAATACATCAGATATTAACATTACAGTTGATACCAGTAGCAAAATGACAGTTATGAAGTAGCAATGAAAATGATTTGATAGTTGGGGGTCACCACAACATGAGGAATTTTATTAAGGGGTCGTGGCAATAGGAAGGTTGAGAACACCTGGCCTAGAAGGTGGTATACAGACCTTCTCCCAGGGTTATGTTTAAAGGAAGTGGCTTCAAAGCTATTGACATGAACTTACCGAAAGCGAAAGACTGAGGTAGACATGCTGTGTGCCAGGGGCCGAACGCCCCAGTTTGTGCAGGGCTTGAGCAACCATCTCTTCAACCAGCACCCCATCAAATTCCTCCTGGGAAATAAAAAAGAACAGTTTGGTTACATATTGTCTAAGGCTTTCTTGGCCGGAATCACTGGGTTGTTGTAGGATTTTCGGGCTATATGGCCATGTTCTAGAGGCCTCTAGAACATGGCCATATAGCCCAAAATCCTACAAGAACCCAGTTTGGTTATGCTAAACTAATCAAAGAAGAAGAAAAAGTGTGAAGGGCAGAATGATGCTTTACAAGATTTAACTTACAGTTATACTCATACACACACACACAAGTAAAAAAATAGGTAGTGGTCTGGGCAAAAGAGCCCATACCATAACCTATCATTTATTTTTGTGGAGTCCAAATCATAGAATCATAGAATCAAAGAGTTGGAAGAGACCTCATGGGCCATCCAGTCCACTCCCTGCCAAGAAGCAGGAATATTGCATTCAAATCACCCCTGACAGATGGCCATCCAGCCTCTGTTTAAAAGCTTCCAAAGAAGGAGCCTCCACCACACTCCGGGGCAGAGAGTTCCACTGCTGAACGGCTCTCACAGTCCGGAAGTTCTTCCTCATGTTCAGATGGAATCTCCTCTCTTGTAGTTTGAAGCCATTGTTCCGCGTCCTAGTCTCCAAGGAAGCAGAAAACAAGCTTGCTCCCTCCTCCCTGTGGCTTCCTCTCACATATTTATACATGGCTATCATATCTCCTCTCAGCCTTCTCTTCTTCAGGCTAAACATGCCCAGTTCCCTAAGCCGGTCCTCATAGGGCTTGTTCTCCAGACCCTTGATCATTTTAGTCGCCCTCCTCTGGACACATTCCAGCTTGTCAATATCTCTCTTGAATTGTGGTGCCCAGAATTGGACACAATATTCCAGGTGTGGTCTAACCAAAGCAGAATAGAGGGGTAGCATGACTTCCCTAGATCTAGACACTATGCTCCTATTGATGCAGACCAAAATCCCATTGGCTTTTTTGCCGCCACATCACATTGTTGGCTCATGTTTAACTTGTTGTCCACGAGGACTCCAAGATCTTTTTCACACGTACTGCTCTCGAGCCAGGCGTCACCCATTCTGTATCTTTGCATTTCATTTTTTCTGCCAAAGTGGAGTATCTTGCATTTGTCACTGTTGAACTTCATTTTGTTAGTTTTGGCCCATCTCTCTAATCTGGCAAGATCGTTTTGAATTCTGCTCCTGTCCTCTGGACTATTGGCTATCCCTCCCAATTTGGTGTCGTCTGCAAACTTGATGATCATGCCTTCTAGCCCTTCATCTAAGTCATTAATAAAGATGTTGAACAGGACCGGGCCCAGGACGGTTAGCTCATATTAAGGAATTTTGTCATCAGGCCATACACCAGAGACTGGAGAGATAATGCAAATTTTCTTTTACCCTGTCTGATTATAACAAAATGAATAACGCAGCAGGGTAAAGCAAACAAGTGTTAGCACAAAGAGCTTGACATGAGGTCCCCCATCAATCAGGTCCAGACCTGGTTAGTGCCAACAGCGCAACAGGGATCAGTCCTCCCAGGCCCACTAATTGGCCACAGAGATGCTAATTGCTCAGTGAAGTCCCATTTCACGAAACCATCTGCTGCATCTACTCAGTGGGGTGTGCCATGTTGATGGAACACACAAACACTCGAAGGCTTGCTTTGCTGTTGCCAGGTGATGGTTCCCCAACTGGCATGTCGATACCTATGTATGCCATGAAATACTGATTTAAATTTGCAGAGAGACTCAAAATTTAATATACTACTACAGATATTGTTGTTCTGCAAGTTCCAAAAAAACAACATTTATTTATTGTGTCAGGAGCAGACCAGACAGTTGCGTTGCAAAAAACAAACAAAACACAAAGTTTGCAAGCTTGGTAGTTGATTAAATGTCCTTTGACCAGTAGCTGGCCACTTGGAGTGCCTCTGGTGTTGCTGCAAGAAGGTCCTCCATTGTGCATGTGGTAGGGCTCAGGTTGCATCGCAGCAGGTGGTCTGTGGTTTGCTCTTCTCCACACTCGCATGTTGTGGATTCCACTTTGTGGCCCCATTTCTTAAGGTTAAAAACCCAATGCCAGCACAGCCAATGGCAAAGAACATTGGGAGTTGCAGTTCACAATAACATCAGGGTGACCATATAACTTTTATCCAAAAAGGGTTGACCCAGGTCATTTTTGATTCCTGCTGTCTTTTCTGTGTCATATCAGAAAAGTCAGGAGGACTCCTCAGAAGCTTCAAATAGTCCAACGAGAGGCAACCAGGTTAATAACTGGGGCGGCATACAGGGAGCATACAATTCCCATGTTAAGTCAGCTCCACTGGCTGCCTGTTTGCTACCGGGCAGAATTCAAAGTGCTGGCTTTAGCCTATAAAGCCCTAAACGGTCCTGGCTCAATTTACCTGTCCGAACTCATCTTCCCCTATGAACCATTGCGGAGATTAAGGTCCTCTGGGGAGGCCCTGCTCTCTGTCCCGCCATTGTCACAGGCGCAATTGGTGGGGATGAGAGGGCCTTCTTGGTGATGGCCCCCCGGCTATGGAACTCACTTCCTGATGATGTCCAATTCTGTGGTGTCCAATTCTGGGCACCACAATTCAAGAGAGATATTGACAAGATGGAATGTGTCCAGAGGAGGGCGACTAAAATGATCAAGGGTCTGGAGAATAAGCCCTATGAGGAGCGGCTTAAGGAGCTGGGCATGTTTAGCCTGAAGAAGAGAAGGCTGAGAGGAGATATGATAGCCATGTATAAATATATGAGAGGAAGCCACAGGGAGGAGGGAGCAAGCTTGTTTTCTGCTTCCCTGGAGACTAGGACACGGAACAATGGCTTCAAACTACAAGAGAGGAGATTCCATCTGAACATGAGGAAGAACTTCCTGACTGTGAGAGCCGTTCAGCAGTGGAACTCCCTGCCCTGGAGTGTGGTGGAGGCTCCTTCTTTGGAAGCTTTTAAACAGAGGCTGGATGGCCATCTGTCAGGGGTGATTTGAATGCAATATTCCTGCTTCTTGGCAGAATGGGGTTGGACTGGATGGCCCATGAGGTCTCTTCCAACTCTTTGATTCTATTCTATTCTATTCTATTCTATTCTATTCTATTCTATTCTATTCTATTCTATTCTATTCTATTCTATCAGATCAGATCAGATCAGATCAGCCTCCTCCCTCCTGTCGTTCAGAAAGATGGTAAAAACTTGGCTTTGGGACTAAGCTTTCGGGACAGTGCAATAAAGCAGCGGTAGGAAACCTTACCAGGCCAATTAGATTAGACACAGATGACCAAGATGGTTTAAACAGTGTATTTTAATATTGAGATAAATGTTTTTAATGTTTATGTATGCATCTAATGAATTCTTGTCCCGGCACTGAATGTTTGCCATATATACGCTGTGCTCCGCCCTGAGTCCCCTTGGAGTGAGAAGGGTGGAATAGAAATGTTTTAGATAAATAAATAAAGATCACCATCATTTGGGGATCTCAAAGGGATATCCTGATCACATTTAGTGAATTTCAGGGGAAAATATAGCTGTTTTGATTGTGGGGAACAGAGTTTGGAAGCAAAACTCTCCCTTAACATTTCTTTTCTCCCAAGAGTAATTTGATCTACCAAGTCACCAAGTCTCCATAGGGACCACCAAACACAGCACCCAAACACGAATCAAGGAACTGGAAAGGCACTGCAGACTACTTCAACCAGAGAAATCAGCCATAGCAGAGCACCTGATGAACCAACCTGGACACAGCATATTATTTGAGAACACAGAAATGCTGGACCACTCAAACAACCACCATGTCAGGCTACACAGAGAAGCCATTGAAATCCACAAGATGTGGACAATTTCAACAGAAAGGAAGAAATCATGAAAATGAACAAAATTTAGCTACCAGTATTAAAAAACTCAAAAATTACAACAGCAAAACAACAGAGAGTAAACAATAAGGCACATCAAATCACTCTCAACAAAAGATTCCCCCCAGGCACTTCCAAGCCATTAAATGCTAATCAAGGTGGTCAGTTGAAACATTCACACCTAGCTCCAGCAGACATAAGTCCTTTGTCCCACCCTGGTCATTCCACAGATATATAAATCCATTTTCCTACTTCCAACAGACCTCACTACCTCTGAGGATGCTTGCCATAGATGCAGGCGAAACGTCAGGAGAAAATGCCTCTAGAACATGGCCATATAGCCCGGAAAAACTTACAACAACCCAGTAATTTTTCTGCTATTTCTGTTGTGGGAAGCATGACAATATTTAGTATCTACAGCAGAGTAGAATGCAGCATAACCAGTGCTATATATGAGCTTATGGTTGGAAACAGAAGAGAAAATACACAAGATGCTCTGCTGAAGTTTTGAAAAAGGTAAAAACTTAATTTTAGTGTTACAGACAATACATCTTAGATAAAAGAGTAGATAGGCAAAAAAAGTTAGCTAACTTTGACAATGACTCTTCCGTAAGGCATCTTGAGACAGAGAAACCTGGTACTCCTTTCTCAAAACAAAGGATAATAAAAGTATTTAAGATTTTTGGGAACAAGGAAAGGTGACCTCCTCATGCAGGAAGAAAGCAAGTGAGTTATACAGATCTAGGAAACGAGAAAACAAAGCAGCAGACCTGCACCACAGGGCTCTCTCTGTCCCCATTTGCTAAGGCTTCTTCACTTCCAACACTCCGCATTCCATCTCCAAAGCCAATGTTCTTGCCAATCTCTTTGGAACTCATCCCAGGAAATCCTAACTCCTTCTACAATTATCTGAATAGCTCTGTCCTACTACTAATAATAATAAAAAAACAAGCCCTTTCATAATGTTCCCTGGAGGGATGTCTGTTTATCCAAGAGAAACCAATCTCTCCCCATGGTTACTATAATGCGCAAAGGGAATCCTTCCTCAACAAGGTGATGGCAATTTTCCATGCCTGGTCTCTCAAATTCTCCATGGAAATTCACCAGTTTCCCATAAGTATCAAGGTAATGCAACCCGCAGAACACACAATTCTGATAATTTCCTTTATAAGAATGCCCA